TATATATTCTACGTTACTAACCAGTATTGTCCAAACTGTTACGCCAACTTTATATATTCACTTTTGTTAGCAGCAATAGGTTAACGTTCTCTTTGCTGTAGTAATACTTGTGATTTCATCAGGGGTTGGAATTTGATTTTAAAACGCCGAATTTTTATTTATCCGAAATTTTACTTGTCCGAATTTTGAATTGACAGAATTTTTAATGCTCCGAATTTTCATTTATCCGAATTTTGAATGGGCAGAATTTTTAAGGCGCCGAAGTTTCATTTATCCGAAATTATGTTTGTCCGAATTTTGAATTAAAAAAATTTTTAAGGCGACTAATTTTCATTTATCCTAAATTTTATTTGTCCGAATTTTTATTTATCCGAATTTTTATATGTCCGAAATTTTGAATTGACAGAATTTTTAAGGCGCCGAATTTTCATATGTCCGAATTTTGAATTGACAGAATTTTTAAGGCGCCGAATTTTCATTTATCCGAAATTTTGAATTGACAGAATTTTTAAGGCGCCGAATTTTCATTTATCCAAAATTTTGTTTGTCCGAATTTTTGAATTAAAAAAATTTTTAAGGCGCCGAATTTTCATTTATCCTAAATTTTATTTGTTCGAATTTTTATTTCTCCGAATTTTTATATGTCCGAAATTTTGAATTGACAGAATTTTTAAGGCGCCGAATTTTCATATGTCCGAATTTTGAATTGACAGAATTTTTAAGGCGCCAAATTTTCATTTATCGGAAATTTTGTTTGACCGAATTTTGAATTAAAAAAATTTTTAAGGCGCCGAATTTTCATTTATCCGAAATTTTATTTGTCAGAATTTTAAATTGACAGAATTTTTAAGGCGCCGAATTTTCATTTATCCGAAATTTTGTTTGTCCGAATTTTGAATTAACAAAATTTTTAAGGCGCCGAAATTTTATTTGTCCGAATTTTGAATTGACAGAATTTTTGTGGCGCCAAATTTTCATTTATCCAAAATTACAAATGTCCAAACAAACAATGGACAGAAAAATTGCGTCGAGAAATCTTTTTGTCAATTGTTTATTCTGACATTTGTAATTTCGGATAAATAAAAATTCGGCGTCTTAAATATTGTATCAATTAAAATTTCGGACAAATAAAAATTCGGTAAATTGGAATTTCGGTCATTTAAAAATTCAAATCACATAAAATTCGATTGAATGAGAATTTTTTTTTTCAAAAATTAAAATTCGCTTAAACTAAAATAATGATAAATAATAATTTAATAAAAATTAGCAAGAGTATATATAAAAAAAAAAATTACGAAAAAAAAGGAGAGAATTAAGAAATAAAATATGTACTGAAAATTCTAAGAAACTTTTTTTTTCGTTTAAATTTCCTTGAATGCACTTGTTCTATATATTTTACAATCACAAGTGTCAAGTGAATCATGTGAACGTTTTTTCAAGTCAAGGATAAATAAGTGCAAGATAATCAGAAAATTGATCATTTTTCTCGTTAATTTTATTCAATTGTTTAGCCTTCTAAAAATTGTTAGCAATTTTTATTTTTTTTCCAAAAATCCTATTAATTTCTATTTGATAAAACCTTTTTGAATATTATATATTTTATTATAATATTCATTTTATTTAATAATTTTTTATAATAAATATAAATTTACATTTGTTTACGATTTTATTATTATTATTATTATTTTTATTATTTTATTTATTATTTATTATATTAAAAAATATAATAAATATAATATAACTCTGTATAAATTTAGAGAATAGATTTGAAACTGGAGATTTGATTCTAATATATATGTATATATAATCGTGCTGAATTAAATTGCTATTAATTACGCCTATGTATAAAGGTAAAAGCGTATCTAACTCGACGCCTAGATATACTTTGAATGTAATGAATAAGTATTACGAACAATTACGTAATATATCCGCGCTCGCGTTCGCGAAACGAAATCGATTTTAATTAAATTAACTCTCGTAGCCTTTCTAGTTTTAAAGACATTGCGCATTGTGTGTGTGTTTTCATGTTTAAATTTATACTTGTTTTATGGTTGTTTTTTTCATTTTATTTATTTTTTTTTTACTTTGGATTATTCTAAGAGAAGTAAAAATCCCCTTAAAATGGAAATAAAAATAAAAGTGTTTTTTTCTTTTTTTCACCGAGGAGAAAAGAATTTTTCTTATATATATATATATATATATATTCTATTTCAAAGAGTTTAAGTAAACAGCGATTTTACACCGTCACTTTTACTTGGGTGTAAAAAACCAAAGTTCCTCGAGTGAAATAAAATTTAATAAATTGAGTCATCCTATATATATATATATAAAGGTTGGCCTTTTCTTTGACATTTATTTTTTTTTAACACCTTGGTAGTTTTTTTTTTACATATGATTCCTTTTTTTATTATCTTATATTAGAATTTAGTGCCACTGATAATAAAAAGTAAATTAAAATTTTATTTAAAAATTGGCAGATTTTTTTTTTCTATAATTTTTTATATCACAAAAAATTATATTCTTAATTTAAGAATATTTTCTTGGCGTCTTTTTAACAAAAAAAAAAAAAAAATAATAAATAAATCTTCGCTTGGAACATGGATAAATTTCTCTAGAATAGCGAAAACTTTCGTTGTTTTAGGAAAATATTTTGCTGTTCTTGATAAAAAAAAAAATTTTCACATGAAGAATATTATTATTCTAATTTTAAGAATATAAAATACATGCGGCAAATATTCTTACCCACTTGGAAAGATTTCCCGGAAAGTGCACCCTTGGAGGTTCTATCAGAATTCCGCCGGAACTTCCAACGTAATTCCGCTGGAGTTCCAAAGAATTTCCGATGGGATTCCGACGGAATTCCAACGGAATTAGGGCTCTAAAAATTTTGAAAAAATTAATCGGAATTCCGTCAGAATTCTGCCGGAACTCCGTCGGAATCCCATTGGAAATTCCCGCCGGAACTTCCAACGTAATTCCATCGGAGTTCCAAAGAATTTCCGATGGGATTCCGACGGCGTTCCGGCGGAATTCTGACGGAATTCCGATTAATTTTTTTTTTAAATTTTTAGAGTCCTAATTCCGTCGGAATCCCATCGGAAATTCTTTGGAACTCGGACGGAATTACTTTGGAAGTTTCGGCGGAATTCTGATAGAACCTCCAAGGGGGTATTTTCCGGGTAATCTTTCAAAGTGGGTTAAATAGGCGGCAATATTTTTTTAGAATAGAATTTTTTCAGTTTTTTTTTTTTGTTTGGGAAAATAAAATACAAACAATTTGTTTTCGCGATGAGTTGAATTGAATTTATGTGTTGAAAAGTAATTTTCTCAAAAACTGCATTTGACTTGCGGACCGCAATAATACATTGAACGCGCAGTTATAAAAGTTTTCTTCTTCGAAATTCGACTGCATGGGGGGGGGGAGGAGAGCACAAAGTCCAAGTGCTGAGAATATAAAATTACACACACGGGCGAACGATCGACAAAAACCAATCGTTGAATTCGAAGCGAATACGTGCATTTTTGGTATAATGGCCTATCATCTGGCGTAAATGCTTATCTGATTATCTAAAGTTAAAATTTCTCTTACATATACATATATATATATATACGAATTTTACATAAGAGAGGTTGTTTCCCGTGTATGAGTCGCATGTAGGTTGACCACAATTACCGCAAAACGTTTTCAGCTCTCTTCATGTTAAGTATATATATATAACTGCATTCATACTCACGAACTGAGAAGATACTTACGTTTTGCTATTTTCACCCCAAAAGCCTCTTTAATAGCTCTCAATTCTGTCTTCGCTACTAATTAAGCCCTTACGAAACATCCTCTCTCTCTCTCTCTCTCTCTCTCTCTCTCTCTTTCTCTCTCTTCTTGCCGAATTATATAATTTTCCCAGTTGAAATTGTCGCTTACAACGAAAATCGTCTCGAAATATTCTTGGTTCATTTTTGTGCTTAAAAGATATATATAAGCTAAATATGTTCGCCAACGAAAATAATTTAGTCTTCAAAATTAAAAATAAGTAAATATAAATTTTAATTACATTTAATTTTTGTGAAAAGTAATTCTTGGAATTTAATTGAATTTTTTAAATTTAGATTATTTTTAAATTATCGCGGAAAAAAAATTTTCACATTGAAATAGCGATTAGTTTTACTGGATTAGCGAAATGTTTCACTAAATTTTTTTTTTTTTGCTATTCTAGAGAAACATATTGTTGTTTCAAATAAAAATTTTTTTTGTATAAAGAATACAGTGAAAAAAAATGTATTTGATTCAAATAATCGATTACTTGAGTATTATCAAATAAATATTTACTTGAAACAAATATATTTTTATTTTAATTAAATAAATTGCATTTCAATCATAAATACATAAATAAATAAATACCATTTATTTGATACAAATAAATATTTATTTGAATTAAATAAATTGTATTTGGACCAATAATCTCTGTATTTGAAATAAATAGCATTAATTTGATACAGATAAATATTTATTTGATACAAATAAATATTTATTTGATACAAATAAATATTTATTTGATACAGATAAATACTTATTTGTATCAAATAAATATTTATTTGAATTAAATAAATTGTATTTGAACCAATAATCTCTGTATTTGAAATAAATACCACTAATTTGATATAGATAAATATTTATTTGATACAAATAAATTCAGTAGTCCAGTGAAATCGATTATTTTAATTTTTTTTCCAATTTAATTTTTTACCTAATTTAGATTTAGAGAGTATTCTTGATTTAAAAATAATTTTTTTGTCCGTTGCATGAAATTTAAAAAATAAAATAATATATTTCTATTAATATTATAATAATATATTTTTATTGGTATAATAATATTAATATATTATACTAAAATTATATATATAATAATTAAAATAAATAATTCAGTTAATTGTTTAGTAACTAAATTTTATTGCTTATACAGAACCACATTAATAGTTTTATTCTTTTTTCTTTGTTTCAGGTAAATATCTCTTAAGGGTATATATATGTATACACACACATGGAAGTTTATATTGCGCAGAGATCCATTTAAAAAAAAAAAAAAAAAGTGGACCATAAAGAAGAGCTCTTACGTGGTAAATTTGTTATACAATTATGCATATTTCTCGCTGATTTCCCTTGGGTTTATATTTCCTATGAATTAACGCCTCAGAAATGTAAAATAAAAGTGTGGAATTTCATCCAAATATCTGCACATGGTTTTTTTTTCAAAATTCACACACAGTTAAGAAATGAATTTTTTTTAAAAAAATATTTCAATTTATATGAAATTAATTCACAATAATTTTTAAATAATAATTCGATATTATTAAAGAATTAAATTACACTAAAAAAAAAAAATTTATTTGATTTAAATACTCGATTACTTGACTATTATCAAATAAATATTTACTGGAACCAAATAATTTTTATTTGAATTAAGTAAATTTATAATTTTTTTGTATTTTAAACTAATATCATACTAATTGGTAATATGATAATTTGTAATTAATTGGTAATTAAACAATAATTATTTGATATAACTAAATATTTATTTGATACAAATAATTATTTATTTAATACAAATAAATATTTATTTGATACAAATAATTAATTATTTCATACAAATAATTATTTATTTAATAATACTCAAGTATTCGAGTATTTGAATCAAATAAATTTTTTTGTTCAGTGTATATACGTATTAATATCAAGAAAGTGGAATTAAAAATTTATTTTTGAAAAATGAAGAGAGTGATCAATTGAAAAGTGATAAACTGATTAGTTTTCCCTCTCTCTCTCACACACACACACAGACTCTCTCTCTGATTCTCTCTTTATGGTGGTCAATTTCGATTGATTGGGGATTAACGAAGCATTCAGTTGCGAAAGCTCATGAACAAATCAACTGAATCAGAGAGCTTTCGATACATGTAGATGCATTATAACTTGTTGAAATATAACCTGCATTAAACTCCTGCTCTCTCGAAATTCACATTTTTGGTTTTAATTTTAAACAATGTCTCCATCACTATATGGAATTTCAAATTTTATCAATTTTATTTGCTGCCCCGCAATATAAACTCATTTTTTTAATTAAAAAAAAAAATCGTTTAGAAAATAATTTAATTTTTTAAGGCTTTTTTTCTGAATTTATGAAAATGTTTTTTTTGGTTTTATTACCAGTTTTAAAATTTAAGTTCGTATTATTTTTTTTTTTGTTTTATTTTTAAACATTATTGTAGGGCGAATGTTGTAGGAAAGAATAAGTTTGATTGAAAAGTTGTTCTATTCCAGGAAAATGTAAGGTGAATTCGTTTCGAGAAATTATAGAGGGGAAACAGTCACGTTACAGGTTAAATTAAAGTAGACAAGGCGTCTGACACAATGAAAATATATATATATCTTCCTATATTACAAAAAGATATCGCCGCCGCCGCCGCTGTTTCAAGAATTCTTGACCTAGGAGGGGGGAGTCCCCCCTTCTAAATTTTGAGGTTATGTTCGTTTCAAGGCTCTGAATTTAGCCGCAAGTCCGCCTCCCTCCTCTCATTTCCCCTCCTCCGTCAAAAATGACCTAAATTTTGAGGTTATGTTCGTTTCAAGGGTCTGAATATAGCCGCAAGTCCTTCCCCCTTCCCTCATCTCTCTCTGTATTTCCCGCCAAAAATAGGGGGGTTGGCGCGCGAAGCGCGCAGGGGGGCATAGCCCCTCTAGTATATATATATATATATATATATATATATATACACCGAGAGTATAAAATTTGAAAGACTTGGAAAAATTTTTATTTTCAAGTAACAAAAGAAATTTTTTTTTTTTCTTAGAAATATTGAATTTTCTACTGACGTGACAAGTTTATTTTATTTTCAAAAATGTGTAATATTTGAGATAAATTTTTCAATTTGTCTGACTGTAACTTTGTTTTACTACTTGTATATATACAAATTTATGTCTTGTCTGACTGAAACTATTTTTACTACTGGCAAATTGGGGGAAAAATTTTTTTAAGAACCTCTCTGATTGTAACTGTATTTTACTACTTATTCAAAAATTTCTGCTTTGTCTGACTAAAACAAATTTTTTCTACTGGCAAATTGTAAAAAAAAATCGAAGAACCTGTCTGACTGTAACTGTGTTTTACTACTTTTTTTTAAAAATTTCAATCTTGTCTGACTAAAACTATTTTTACTACTAAAAAATTATTTTAAAAATTATAAAGTACTTATCTGACTGCAACTGTGTCTGACTACTTATATAAAAATTTATTTCTTGTCTGACTAAAACTATTTTTACTACTGAAAAATTATTTTAAAAATTATAATGTACTTGTCTGACTGTAACTGTGTCTGACTACTTATATAAAAATTTATATCTTGTCTGACTGAAACTATTTTTACTACTGGAAAATTATTTTTAAAATTAAAAATAACTTGTCTGACTACAATTGTTTTTTACTACTTATATAAAAATTACGAATATTTTTTTTTTATTCTGTCTGACTCAAACTATATTTTACCTACTGATTATTTGTTAGAAATTTTAATAGACCAAATAAAAAAAGCGAAGAATTTAATTGTCTGACAAAATTGTGTTTTACTACTAAAAAAAGATGACAATTTTAAATACTGACTGACTAAAAAATTTTTGCCTAACTGTAACTGTCTTTTTTAACTTGTATAAAAATACCACTTTGTCTGACTAAAACTATTTGTTACTACTGAAAAATTTTGTAAGAAATTTAGAGAGCTTGTCTGACTGCAACTGTCTTTTACCACTTACATCAAGATTATTTTTTTTAATTTTTTAACCTAAACTTATTTTTTTATTTTTGTTTAACCTAAACTTATTTTGTTATTTTTTGTCTGACATAAACTTATTTTTACTACTTAAAAAATTACAAGAAATGTGTCGTATATATATTTTTTTTATTCTTTTAAGTCCTATACGTGTCGTGAATTTTTTTTATATATAATAATCATCCTTTTTCACGCAACTAAGGTCGATTTAAAATCAGATTCCACCGCCGCCGTATTGTTTCGTTGCCGGTGAAAAATATTAGGTCTGTCACGTGGCATGGGACAAATCACTTGCTATACTTTACCCGCTGTTACTTTCAGCCTCTCTCTCTCTCTCTCTCTCCCTCTCGCTAGTAGTATAGTCTGGAACCGAGGCATATCCCGGAAAAGTTGTTATCGCACCCGGCAATTTATAACCGAGGCTGCAACATATGCTTTTACCGCTTCTTCATCGGCAACTGCAAAGTTTATCTCACACCATGTTTCCATGTTTCGTTATGCATTATATACTAAATAACGCAGTTTTCAATTCAACTTGTCGTCAATATGTAAATTAATTAATTAACACCTGCGCTTAATTATATAAAAAAACAAAACTGCTTTCATTTTAGTTATATATTTTTTTTCAGTAGCTTACAAAAATTTAAAATTGGTTTTACAACCTTTAAAATTTGTTTTACAACCTTTAAGTTTGTTGTATACAACCTTATTTTTCATATACAAAGTTGTGTAAAATAATTATTTTATTTACATCCTTAAGAATTAAGGGTTACGACCTTAAAATTTGTTTTCGAACCTTTAAAGTTATTTTACCACCTATAAAGTTGTAAAATCATTAAAGGTTATATTACAGCTTTAGAATTAATTTTACATTCTTTGAAGTTATTTTACAACCTTAAAGTTTGGTTTACAGGTCCAAAGTTAGTTTTAAAACCTCCGTGTTTTGTTTTACAACCTTATTGAAGGTTATTTTACATTTCTAAAGATTGTATTATTTCTCTCAAAATTATTTTACAACCTAAAAAAATTACCTTTAAATATTTATAATTTTTTTCTAGAACCTTCGAATTTGTTTTACAACCTTAAAATTGTCTTTAAATATTTATATTTTTTTTCTAGAACCTTCGAATTTGTTTTACAACCTTAAAATTGGCTTTAAATATTTATATTTTTTTTCTAGAACCTTCGAATTTGTTTTACAACTTTAAAATTGGCTTTAAATATTTATAATTTTTTTCTAGAACCTTTCGAATTTGTTTTACAACCTTAAAGTTTGTTTACAACTTTATTGAAGGTTATTTTACATTCCTAAAGGTTGTATTACTTCTCTCAAACTTATTTTATAACCTTAAAATTGGCTTTAAATATTTATAATTTTTTCTAGAACCTTTCGAATTTGTTTTACAACCTTAAGTTTGTTTACAACTTTATTGAAGGTTATTTTACATTCCTAAAGGTTGTATTACTTTTCTGAAACTTATTTTACAACCTTAAAATTGGCTTTAAATATTTATAATTTTTTTCTACAGAACTTTCGAATTTGTTTTACAACCTTAAAGTTTGTTTACAACTTTATTGAAGGTTATTTTACATTCCTAAAGGTTGTATTACTTCCCTGAAACATATTTTACAAATTTAAAGTTTGTTTTACATTTCTAAATTCTGTTCTAAAACCTTTAAGTTTGTTTTACAACCTTATTAACCTTATTTTACATTCCTAAGGTTTTTTTACATATTTAACATTTGTTCTACAACCTTAAATTTTATTTTACATTCCTAATGTTTGTTTTATAACCTTACAAAATACTTTACAACCTTGAAGGTAATTTAACATTTGTCCTACAACCTTGAAGAATGTTTTACAGTCTTATAGTTTATTTTACAACCTTATTAAAAAAATTTACAACCTTGGAGGTTATTTTTACAACCTTGAAGATTATTTTTACAACCTTAAATGTTATTCTAAAATCTAAATTTATTTTAGAACCTACAAAGTTGTTTTTACAACCTTAAATTTTATTTTACAACCTTAAATTTTATTTTACAACCTTAAAATTTATTTTACAACCTTAAAATTTATTTTACAACCTTGAAATTTATTTTACATCCTTGTTAAAAAAAACGAAAGAAAATTTTTGTTTATTCCACATTTTTCTAATTTAATTAAACTAAAAGCAAAATAAATGCTTTTATTAAACTTAAAATTGTAAAAGTCGTGAATTCTCAATATGGTTTGAGAAAAGTTTAATAACATACAGATATATACAGTGATGCAAAATAATAATAAATAAAAAAAA